GGGGTATTGGCAGAAACTAGGAAGCGCCCTTACCTCGCGCATGTTAGCTTAGCTCTTTTACAGTGATGATGTGGCTTGGTAGCTTTCAAAGATGCAATTCTATCTTTTTGGCTTTGGGCAACGTGGGGCATGACATTTCAACCAATTTAAGGCCCAGGCTTCTGGTTTTTCTTCTCCAAGGACGAAGCAGATTAGTGAAGGGATGAATCTGATCAGAAAAGACGTGACCTGTCACGTCAGTCAGGACAACTGGAGTTAGGCAGACACAAGGCCTGGAAGGGCTGGTGTCCTGGGACGCTACCTACACGGTGCAGTGCGGGACCTCACTCGGCACCTGGCCGGGCAGGCGGCGGGCAGAGACCCGTTCATCCAGCCGACCCGTAGTGGCTGTTCTGCTGCACCAGAACCCCCGCCCGGCGGGAGAGGCGGGGCCTGGGCGAGCACATCCCAGGGGGCGGGCAGGGACCCTCTGGGCCAGGCCTGCACCCACAGCAGCAGGGCACCCAGCCCCCTCAGTGAGGAGGCACCAGCCGCCTGCCGCAGCAGGGGGCACGGCCCAGCAAGCCTTTGCCCGCTTGTCCCCGGAGAGAGCCCTGCGAAATGGCTGGTCTTGAATGTCGGTTTCAGTAGCAAAGACAGACAACCGCCCTGAGAGGACAGGAAACACCCTGCGTGTGTCTGTCTGTGTCATTCAGCCAGACCTGAGCTCTGACCTGGGGCCCAAAAAGGGAAGTTTTCCCAGCAGGGGTAGCGCCATGAGCAAGGTGAAGGGGCAGAGAACTACTTAGGCTGCCTTGGTACAGAAAGATTTAAGGCACCACAAAGACTGGCGGCTGCCGGGTGCTGGGTGTCCCCGGGGAGCTTCCAGGGCTGAGGTTGGGGGAGGGATCCATCGAGAAGGACCCTGTGGGCCAGGGTTCGATTATATTTGATCTCTAAAGGAAATAGGAGTCGCAGAACTGACATTCCATGATGACGTGCTAGAAAGGTCATTCATTCTGCCTGTGCTCTTGGAGGGCGGGCCGCGGCAGGGAGGCTGGTTGGGAGAGTGGCTCAGGAGGGCAGAGAGAAGGGCTAGGGCTGGGGCTGGGGGGGCATGTGCGGAGCAGAGGGCTCCGCAGGCCACGGGCTGGAGTCTGGCTCGGGCGTCTGGGGGCAGTAACACCCTTCCCTGAAGCAGGGGGCCCGGAGGACGGCAGTGTTCACCTCGAAAACGCTAAAATGGGAGCGCTGGGGGGACAAGCCTGGGCTGGAGTTAGAGACGCAGGGTCGGTGGTGCTTAATGGAAAGCAAGGAACAAGCAGGACGGGATGGGGACCTTAAGCGGGGCCTGCAGAAGTGGCATTTAGGACGAGGGGTGACGGGGTGGGCGGGCAGCCCACAGTGGCCGCAGGACGCGGAGGCAGGAGAGCTCCCAGGGCAGGCGTCGTCTGCAGTGGCAACTGGGAGGGGTGCGGCGTGTCCTTAGGGGTCACTGCAGGAAGGCCACCCTGGCCCAGGCAACAACAACTTGCCGAAGTCATTGCGGACCCCGTGGGGAGAGGAGAATGGGCCGGCAATAGCCAGAGAGGGCCGGTGGTGAGGGAGGCAGTGGGAGGGGTTGGAGACGGAGCCAGGAGCGCTACAGGAAGATGGCGTGAAGTTTGGGCGGGGGCGGGAGGAGAAGGGGTTCTAGAATGCATGGAGGACTGAGGCTGGGCCCAGGAGAAAGCAGGCTGAGTGGGGCCGGGGCGGGGGAGGCACGCGCTCGGCGCCCGGTCAGGGAGGGAGGGCCCCCGCTGCACAAGGACTGCTGGGTTTGTTTCCATTTTCAACCTGTCTTTCCTTGATTATAAAACCTGTGTTTATCATGAAAAATGAAGAAAATGTATAGAATCTATAGCATGTCCTGCCCTCCCAAAACCTAGACATAACTACTATTACCCTTTGATACCTTTTTAAAAATGCAAATATATATACTAAAAAAAAATACAAAAACTTGGGATCACTGTGAGTGGCCATAGGCTAGCTCCGCACTACTTTTTTTTTACTTTTGAATTTATTGGGATGACATGGGTTAATAAAATTATATAGGTTTCAGGTGATCCACGCTATTTTTAATTTGCTTTTTCACTTAGCAATATGTTGTAAGGCTCTTCTCGTGCATTGAATATTTTTCTAAAACACTGTTTTCAATGCTGTGTTGGGTGAATATGTAATGGCTGTAATCAGCCTCCTACTTTGGACACTTAGATAATTTTTCATTTTATATGTAATGTGACGATAACACCCTTTTATATGTATCTGCAGAATTCTGACTTCTTCTCAGTATAAAGTCCTAGAAGCGGGGTCACTGACTCCCAAAGCACTCGCATCTCGAATGCGTGTGATGCGGGCCATTGCGGGGTCCTGGCAACACTGCATTCTCGGAGGGGGCTGGTGTGCGTGGACAGTATTTTGATTAAAAAAAAAAAGATTTTATTTATTTAATTTTAGAGAGACGGGAAGGGAGGCAGAAAGAGAGGGAGAAAAACGTCAATGTGTGGTGGCCTCTCGCCAACTGGGGACCTGGCTCGCAACCCAGGCCTGTGCGCTGACTGGGAATCGAACTGGCAACCCCCTGTTCACGGGCTCGTGCTCAGTCCATGGAGCCACACCAGCCAGGGCCCAGTATATTGACTTTTTAAGGGGGCTGACCTAAAGCTCCAGAATGTTCTGTCTGCCACCCCTGCACTCTGCCGTCCCCTCCTGATCACATCACGCCTGCCACCTCTCCCGCCCCTCCTAGGTGCGTGCTCTGCGGGACGCAGAGACGGGCCTCCCACCTCATGTAGTTTTGCATCCCCCGCAGTCAGCACAGCGTCTGGCACAGACCGACAGACGTGTCTATTGAACTCGCCCAGTGCGGGGAGCGGGGGACAGGCACTTGCCCTGCTACAGTGGGAAGGCCACCATTCGGGAGGACGAGGGCTCTCACTCCTTGCAGCGACCACGTCCGCCAGTGAGCCGACAGCCACGCACACTCCCAGGCCTGGAAAAATGTCCGTCTTTCTCTGCCAAGGAGAACATCTGACTCAAGAATTAACTGGGCCCGTTGTATTTCTTAGGCCCCCTCTATCCCTCTCTCTGACTAAGATAATCTAATGTCAGTCTCGCCTCTCTGGGAAGCCAGGGTGATAATAATTTTAAAAGATAATTTATAAATATTTTTTAAAAATGGTTTGGTGTCCTCTTTCCCATGTCGACCAAGATGAATTTATTAGCTCCTGTAACTTCTTCCATTCAAAAAGACGTTATCTTTATAAACTGGATTTACTAGTAGTGGACACTTGGCTATATTCTGGATCAAAAAACCCCCACAACCCTGGTAGGTGTGGCTCGGTTGGCTGGGCGTCATCCTCTGAACCAAAAGGTTGCTGGTTTGGTCCCCAGTCAGGGCACGTACCTAGGTTGCAGGTTCTGTCCCGGTTGTGATACAGGAGGCAACTGATCGATGTTTCTCTCTCACATCAATGTTTCTCCCTCTCCCCCCACCCTAAAATCTATAAATGTATCCTTGGGTGAGGATTAAAAAAAAAATCCACCAAACTCCTCAGATATAAATGACATTCTGTGGACAATCAGGGAATCTTAACATACGATACAATACTATTAAATTAATGTTACCTTTCTTAGGTGTGATAATGCCGTTAAGTACAGGATGTTCTTATTCTTAGGAGACATGTGCTGAAAGGCTGCAACCTTTTTTCAAACAGTTCAGCATGAAAATGTATATGTGTATATTATGCACATAGAAAAGAGCAAGAGCTTGAGAGAGCTGAGCGTGCAAAGGTAGCAAAGTGTTAACAGCTGGAAGCTCTTCCTTGTAACACTCTTTCAACTTTTCTCTGGCTAAAAAATACTGGTTGTCAGTTTAAGAGATTAAAGGTATTATATTAGGTAGTATATTACTAATTAAAAATAAAAACCTTGAAACACAAAGGACACGATAACTAGTTTTGAAATCAAATCAAACAGATCTCAGAGCAGCAATCCATGATGCGGGCCTTGAAATGGTAGGCCAGGCACCAGACAGGCAATGGTACTTGGCAGGAGCCGGGGGCGGGGGCTCTGGCGTCTGAGGCGCGGTGCCCAGTGCTCCGTGGGAGCGGGCATTTTCTGTGCTTGGTTTCGTGCCCTATCTCCTGCACCTGGTTGTTTATTACAAATTACTATGAAGTAAAACAGGAAACCACAAACATGTCCAGGTCTAGGGGATTTCTAAGTAAAGTAGGGCATATTCATTGGGAATCTTTTACGGCCCATACGTGTTTAATGAACAAATGCAGGCCTTTTGGCCTGCTCTCCCTAAGCCTCTGTTCATACCTGTTCCTTTCCCGCATTCTCTGGGCAGGAAAAGGGGCCATGGAAGATGCTTCTCCCCAGCCACGCTGGGCCCCCAGAGCACACAGGCGTCTGTCTAGGCCCTTGGGTCCCCAGGGGGACCAGGGGCTCTGGGTAAGCAGACTCAAGTTTTGTTTATGTAAACAGGGTAAAAGTAAGTCTATGAATAAGGCTTGGCAGCTAAACATGCTTATAGTCGCTTTAAAAATCCATCTAAATATGAGTTGATTTGGTGTCTTAACCTGTGACACTCCATCCCAACAAAGAGCCCCACGCTGCAGCGAGAGGCTGCAGAACAGAAGCCACGCACGTCCTTTCTGGGTGGGCCCACTACTCTGCTGGTCCCTTCCTTTGAAATTGCAAGGGCCCACCCTTGGCTTCTCCTGGAGGACGGCTGGCGGCCCTGGGGGTCCTGCGATCCAGCCACTTCCCTTTTCGGGGGGGAAAAAAAACCTGGCGGGGAGGTGGGGGGAAAGGGAGATTCCAACTCCTTCAAAAAGCCCCAAAGGCACCAATAAAGAGAGAAATGCTTTTCGATAGGAACGTTTTATTTTAAAATTTCATATACATACACCTTACACTGCAGTTGATTAAAATGAAGCCTAAGAAAATAAATCCCTGCCTCCGTTCGCCTGGACTTACAGTGGGTGCCCGTTCCTGTGGCCGCCGGGGGTGACGGGCCGGCGCAGGGGCTCGCCGCCACCCCACTGCGCGCTGGCCGGCCCCTTCCGCCGCGTCTTCCCTGAGTTGGTCAGGATCTGCGGGGGGAAAGAGGAGGTGGGCTGGAGAACGCGCCCCGAGGGCCGACCCAGGAGCTCGTGTGGGTCGTCTCCAGTGACACGAGGCTTTGCAAATCAACAAGGAAGGACCATGCCACAGTGTGCAGAAAGTTTCCCCTGAGGTTGGCATATTATACCATTTAGTGGCATAAATTTTTAAAAAACTGAGCAGTGGAAAAAAGGAGATGAAACAGTGGAATATAGTAGTATCACATCTTTGGAGAGGGCTGACTTTTGAAAGCGAGAGGGGAAAAAAAAGATTTAGTTTGATGAAAAATCAACATTTCCGCATATATAGTATACTAAAGATAGGCCAAATTAACGGGTAAACAACATACTGAAAATAAATATTTGCAGTAAATTCAACCAATTAAAGGTAAACCTTTTCGCTAGATAAGGAGCTCTTACAACTTAATAAGTAAAAGACTAAAAAGATAATTGGGCAAAGAATTCAGATAGCTAAGCCATAAAACAGAAAATACCACCAGAAAATAGGAAAATGACCAACCTCACGAGCGAGGAATAGACTGAAGAAATAAAATGAAGTCCCCATACTCAAGTTGCTAAAGTACTAAAATCAAGAGGGTTGAGGCCTGAGGAAACGCTTCTGTTCCTGCTTTAACGAGCCCGGGCACTTGGATTCTTGAACTTTCCAGTCCTGCATCAGTGCCTGGACGCACATCACACCGCCAGACAACCCCCGACCACCCCCGAAGGCCTGGGGAGGAACGCTGGGTCTCCAGACCATCCGTCATCCAGGCTCCAGGCCACGGCTCCTCCGCAGGATGACCCTCTCTGACCAATCCAGAGGCTGAGAGCGCAGGACCCCGTCCTCTCAGGAATGCGCCTTTTGCTGCCAGAGCCCTCAGCTTCCTTCTTTCCTCGGAAGGCTCCGGGTACTGCCTAGCGCTGCCTCTGGTTTACAAACCCTAAGACCCTTGAATAAATCTTCATCACTAATTTCTAGCCAAAGCCTCTTGACTCTTTTTGAGTGTCCAACATAAATAATTAGAAACTACAATTTCACCGAGAAGAAATCATTCAATAAGTGACAATGAAAGAAATGATCCCCCCGCCCCGCCCCGACTGCAAGCAATTGTTTAAAATGTTAGTGGCATGGAAGTTTGAGACAGCTCTTTTGGAAAGGAATTAGGTATTTTATATCAAGAGTTGTAAAAATGTTCATATCCTTGGGTGTCAATTCTAGTGAAAAAAAAACAAAATATGGAAAATGTTAAATAAACAAAGTTGCTTGTGAAAAAATTATTGTAGAGTAAAACTGGAACAGTCTGACTGTCCCAGTAACAGGGGAAGAATTAAGTAAAATGTGGCATATTCATCTGAAATATTCTATAGCCATTGACCATGATAAAGACTGAGTTATAAAGAAAATGTTTATTTAAAACATTAAGTAAAAGGTTATAATACTGCACATAAATGATACTTTCAATTTTGCTAAAAGTATGCGAGGACGGTGCAAGGACTCAGTGACAGACGCCGGACGCTGGTGGTGGCTGTGCGGCCTAACAGAGCCAAGAATGGTCCTCCTCCTATTTTCCAAGTTTCCTGTAATGTGCTTATATTATGTTAATAATTAAGGAAAGTTGTTTAACAAAGAAATCACGGTACAGCTGGTGAGGTCTGAGTAAAGTCGGCGGGTGGTGCGCGCCTCAGTTTCCTGGTTCGGCCACGTGCTACAGTTACCTAAGGCCTGGGGACACTGGGTCAAGGGGCAAGCCAACCCTCTGCAGGTTTTTCAACTTCCTGTGAGTCTATAATTATTTCAAAGGATAAAGTTAAATTTATTTTTTTAAATTGGAATTACATCTGTGATTTCTTGATTTTTACTGAAGACTTGTTTGGGTTTATATACTATTATTCAAGGTAGGGAGAAGGGGAAAAAGGGTCAATTTCCTATGGAAAAAATCAACAGGCATCACCTACACCGTGGGGACAGCGGCCAGCCGCGCCGGGCGTGGGGCAGCCGTCGGGGGCGGGGCGGGGGGGTGGGAAGCCGACGGGAGCGAGACGCTGGGAGGGGCCTCTACGCTCTGGAGGAAGTGACGCGCAAGGAAGCTTTCCGAACGGGGCGGAAGCGTGGTCCCAGTTCTGCCCGTCACTGGCGCAGTTCGGAGAAGAGGCCGCCTCAACTGCAGCCGCTAGTACCGTCCTCTGGTCCGACCTCCCTGTCACACAGCCCCCGTCTAAGATCTCAAGGGCCTGGGCCCGGGGCCCGGGGCGGGGTGATGAGGGCCTGGGCTGCGGGGGGCAGCACTGGGACCGGACAGGTGCGTCCTGCTCTGCTCATCCTGTGACGGCTCCGACGCCTGCACCCCACGTGGTTTTCCCTCCCAAGTCACTGTCTCTGCCTTCTGCTCCACACCAACCACCTCATCCGAGGTTGCAGGGCCCACGTGACTGAGCCAGGCAACCCGCGGCTCCGAGGTGCCCGAGCTCCTGCTAACGCCACTGCCCTTCACCCCAGGGGCTTAGCCGCCGGTAGTCACAGGGCTTCGGTCTGGACGGGCCCTCATCCCTTGTAATGGCTCCTCCCTTCAGAAGCCTGATGCCCCGGCATCCCGCCGGCTCAGCCCTGCGCTCTCTGATCGAGGGGGTGCCCGAGGCCCCGACCCTGCCCTGTCCTGGCGGGTGGAGTGGCAGCTCCCTCCTGGCGCGCCGTCCCTGCTTCGCTGGTGCGGGGTCAGCAGGGGCTCCCGGAGCTGGCTGCGCGCCAGGGCCACCCGGGAGCTGGCGGAGTTCAGATTTCGACCACCACAGACACGCAGCTCCACAGGCTGCTCAAACACGGGACTGACCTCCCCGGCCGTCCCCGCCGGCCTGTGTCCTCCGGCCTCTCCCCAGGCCCCTCAGATGGTTCCCGTTCTGTCCCTCTCGGGGGCCCCCCCGCCCCCCGCCCCTGCCATGCTGGATCAGCCCTCTGCCCTCAGCCCCTCTCTCGCTCTCTCCACCCTCTGCTTTGGTGGGCGACCGCCTGTCTGATGGTCTCCGCCATCAGCCGTGTGAGGCGGCTTCCACATCCACCACAACCCTCCCTTCTGGCAGATGAGGCACGAGAAAAGCATCAGGCTAGGCGAGTGCTGCTGAGGAGGGCAGACCTTCCGGTGCCATGAAGGTCCCCAGCGTGTGCCCTGTGGTCATGGTCTAACCCCTCTTCTGTTCACCAGCGGGTCTGTTTGCAACAGGTAGCTGGGGCCACTGGAGACAAACTGGCCAATACGGAACTTCCCGTGAACACAGTGTCATCACAGACCAGACCAGACCCTCGCGTGCTGTGGCAGGGCCTCCAGCCACCTACGGTCCCTCTCCCACTCTTCTATCTCAGGACCCCGCCCTGCCACGCCGTACTCACTCCCAAGTACTCCGTGGTCAGAAGCTTCTCGCCTGAGAGTTCTCCAAGCTGGGGCTGGATCAGCTCGTCTTTGTCCAGGTCGGCTTCCATGGTGTCACGGTCCTCCTGTTTCAAAGGAGACATGGGGTGACTGCTCTGGATGCCAGCCGCAAGCTCCCAGATGGGCGGGTCCCCAAGGGGACACCTGCCATGAATGAGAAGGCATCAGCCACAGCAACGCACAGGTCTGCATTTCAAAGGGGCTCGGGACAGACTGCCCTCTGCACATAACCCCCACCCCCTGCCACCCGTTCCCATGAAGAGGATGGGAGGGCGCCGGCCCCCTCGTTAGGGCACTCAGTGTCCACGGAGCACGTCCAGGACCCCAGCTGTGAAGAGGGCCCACAGGATGTGCATCAGTCCTGCCTTGTCGCAGGTCCCAGAATCCCTCTCTCCACGAGGTCAAGGGACCGTGTCAACAGCCAGATTGGTCACCCTGCAAACCACTGTTAAGCACCTTCGTGTGCACAGGCCTTATGAGGGGAGCAGAGCTGCCTAGTACAGGCTTGCCTTTCTCCAGCAGTTGACAGACAAAAGGAGGACTCAGCAGAGAGAGGGGTGCTTTTGCTTTGGGGAAGGAGGCGTGGACATACCTTTCCCTATTCTTCCCACTAAGTACAACCCAAAACACGGGGCACTACATGGAAACACAGGAGGCCCCGAGAAATGGAGAGGAGGCGGGCTGGCTGGGGCACAGGGAGGAGGGGTGGCGCGTCCTCGGGCTTCCTTTTCACCTTTCAGATTTCAGACTTGGAGCTAAAAGAGCCAGCCACCCAGGAACGTTAACTGGGAAGACAAACAACAACAACAACTACTAAACAAACTAACAACTCCCCTCAAAAGCTGCCCCTTCTAGCCAAAGGACCAGGAGAAGGGGATCTTAGCTCAGCAGAACTTTTGGAAGATAACCAAGCACCACAGGGCACACGGCTGCCCCACCCCCAGTCACACCAGCGAGGGCCTCGGGGGGCCCAGGCTTCTGCCCGTGCCAAGCTGTAATGGGGTGCCCAACACCCCCCACTGCGGTGATAGCAGAGAAGGACAAGGGGGGGAATTTCATCCCTGCTGGCCGGTAACGAGGCCTCCCACCCGGAGGTGAGAGTGGAGACCACGTGTGGAGTCTGGACTTCCACGCCTGCTCGGCAGTAACGAGATGTGCCCCCTTTAGTGGAGAGTCAAGATTTTCTCCACTGGTCACCACGGTCCCATGGTGGCCGGGGGCGCATGGGGAGCGGTAACGAGGCATCCCTACCCGGCAGCCGGGGAGGCAGGGGCCTAGGAGGGACCCAGAACTCCCATCCCACCCTGCCCTGCAGGACCGAGGAGCCTCCGCCCCTCCCAGCACCCGGGAGTCGAAGGGGTGAGGGGGGCCTGTACCACATGAGCAGGAAGGGGATGGGCCGGCCTTGCCTGCCAGGGCGATGTCAGGAGGAGCTAGAACAAGGTCTGAACGTGATCCAAAGTCTCCTAACATCATGCACAAAATACCCAGGTCTAAACAAAAACCCACTCATCATACCAGGAACCAGGGGACTCTCAAAGAGAATGAAGAGAGACAACGAATCGATGCCAACATCAAAAATAACAGAGATGCTACACTTATCTGACATGGGATTTAAAGCAGCCATCATAAACACGCTTCACTGAGCAACAGCAGAGAGCACTGAGAGAAATTAAAAAACAGAAGATCTCACAAACAGAAAAATAAAATAAACTCAAAGCAGGCAAAAGGAAGGGAATAATAAAAAGAGCAGAAATCGATGAAAATAAAAAATAACAAAATCTGTGAAACAAGCTGGGTTTTTTAAAAAGATTAATAAAAATGTCAAGACTCTAGCAAGCTTGACAAAGAAAAAGAAAGAAGAAAACGAATGACCAATTTGGGAATGAGACAGGAGCTATCGCCATAGGCCCTGCAGGCAGCAAAAGGAATAGAAGGGGCCACTGCAGACAGACCCATCCGGCAACGGAGGGAGAAAAGCGCATCTTACGTCAAGCCCCTCCAAAGGAAACAGGTGACTGGAGTAGTCCTATAACTACCAAGGAAATTGAACTCATGGTTCTTTTCCACGTAGTGCGAAAAGTTCTAGCTAGAGCAATACGGTGAAAAAGGGAAATAAAAAGCAAGCAGCTCTGAAAGGAAGAAATCGCACTGTCTCCATTTGCTGATGATATGATTGTCTATGTAGACAATCCCAGGGAACTGCCTCTTCCCCAGACTCCTTGAATTAATGACTGAATTTGACAAGGTCACAGGACATTAGCCATTAGGGACATGCACATTGAAACCACAGTGAGCTATCCCTCCACGCCCACCAGAATGGCTAAAATAAACACCGGCAACAGCACCAAACACTGGTGGGGATGCGGAGAACCCAGGTCACTGACACGTTGTTAACGGGAATATGGAAGCGCTCCAGCCACCTGGGAAAACAGTTGGGCAATTTCGTAAAAAGCTGAACGTGCAAATCCGTGCCACCCAGCAACAATGCTCTTGGGCATTTATCCCAGGGAAATGGAAACCACTGTCACACAAATGTCTGGATGTGAATGTTTATAGAAGCTTTATTTGCAATATCCCAAAACTGGGGATATTGCAAATAAAGCTGCTGTCCTTCCACAGGAGGGCGGTTGAACACACGGCGGCACATGTGCCGCGAGCCACGGGTGCACGCCCGCCTGGACGGCCCTCAGGTGCAGCGCTGTGTGTAGAAGGGCCAGTCCTTGACAGTTATGGGCTGTTCCACCTACATAACATTCTTTTTTTAAAAAAAGGTTTTATTTATTTTTAGAGAGAGGGGAAAGGAGGGAGAAAGAGAGGGAGAGAAACTTCGATTGGCTGCCTCTCACATGTGCCCCGACTGGGGACTGAACCCGCAACCCAGACACCTGCCCTGACTGGGAATCGAACCATATCCAAGAGGGTGACCTTTTGCTTTGAGGCACAACGTCCAACCGATGGAGCCACACTGGTCAGGGCCACTTACATAATGTGCTTGAAATGACAAAAGTGTGGAAATGGAGAACAGATCAGGGGTAGCCAGGGGTTAACAGGAAACGGGGGTGGGAAGGTAGGGCGTGGCCACAAAGATCCTTGTGATGACAGAAACCTTCTAGGTCTTGAATGCATCACTGGTAGCATCATGGCTAGGGTGTTAGAGCACAGCTTTGCAAGCTTTACCGTTGGATGGAACTGGGTAAAGGGAACAGAATTTTTCTGTATTATTTCTAACAATTGCATGTGAATCTATAATAATCTCAAGTTTCCAACTGTAAAAAGAGAGGAGTTACGAACAAAACAGCAGCATATAAGAGATGTTACACACCTGTGCCTAATCAAATGCCAGCTGAGCACTGTTCGCAGCATCGGGGACCCTGGGGTCCTCTCTCCCACCCCCGCCAAGACTTCAGAGATCGCGCTGACTTTGCAGGTTAAATGGTAAAGATCAGTACAAAACAGACCAGGCCTTTGCTGACAGAGGCACTAAGGAAGGACTGTGTTCCTATGAACTCAGGGACCTGGCCTGCTATGGCGGGAGTCGGCAGGGGGGAGCCCTGGAGGGAGCTGGCAGCCCAAGTGCTGGTCTCGAGGCGGATGGGAGATGCAGGCCAGCACACCCTGGCGACAACAGTCCCGGAGGTCATCTAACTGATCCTTCCCGATTCCTTGTCCACTCAACACCCTGTAATTTGGCTCCTCTACACTTGCCAACAGGAAGAGAAAGCTCTGTTCTGCAAACACGAGTTCCTTGTTTTACTTTCAAGCTAATTTCCAGTCATTCTAGATGCCCTTGTCATTTGTGAACTGGATTTTTCTGAGTCGGTTTCCAAGGGACCCAAAGGCTCACACTCCCAGGAGGGCTGCCTCTGGGTAGGGCCGATGCTGCGGGGGGTGGTGGTTGGGGGCTGCAGCCCTGCCTCTCCAGGCACTTTTTAGGACCCAGATAGTCAGCGCCACCTGACATCATAGACAGTGTCAACCAGGAAGAGCTGTCTTAAGAAAAGGGGATTAGACTTATTCTAAGTGGTTCCCAAAGGCAGACCAGAGCCAGCAGGCTCCAGACCAACCCAGAGCCTTCCCTGACAGCGGCCCGTCTTACCGGTGGCCTGGGCCGCGTCGACTCCCGCCAGCGCACACGGGAGAGCATTTACGGGGCACCCGCTCACCACAGAAGCACGGAGGAGCCCGCCTTGCATTTCCGTAGCACTTCACCCCTCACCTCTCGCAGTGCCTCTGTGTGGACCTGTCCTTTGTCATTCTGTCCAATGTGGAAACCGGACCTGAGAGAAGTGTCAGTCCATGGTGACAGTCCATGGTGACAGCCTGGCCCTGGGGCTTGGCCACCGGGGGCCCTGCAGAGCAGCCTGCTCCTGTGGAGGCACAGGCTGGACTGAGCAGGTCTTCTGAGGCCTGCGGGTCCCCAGTGTCTGGTTGAGGCTGAGCTCGAGGAGACAGGGAACGGGCCATGGTCTCATCCCGCTCGCTCTCTCTGTCTGTCGCAGAGCATCTCTGGTCCTCCCTGGAACGCCAGGCTCGTGGCCAGCCTGACCCCCGGCCCGGGAGCTGCCTTCTCCCGGGCAGCTCTGCCAAGCGCTGGGTACCCACCATCCTGAAATTTCACTCGGGGACCCGTAGCAGCAACGCGATCTCCGAGGCCTCCCTGAGGTCAGCCCTGGGACAGCCGGGCAAGATTCATTCAGCTGCCCCGGCTTTGAGCTCGGTTTCCTAAAATACCAACACCTCAGCGACCAAATAGTGTGAGCCACCTGTGATTATCTCAGGAGAGCGACTGCTCCCTGGGAACAAAAGCAGTGGCTCTGCGGTGCAGTGAGTGGCAGGGTGCCCTGGGCAGCGGGGGTGCGTTTCAGCTCTTCTCCAGGGAACGAAGCCTTGGAGGCACCAGCTGGAAATGGGCGAACTCATCACGATTCCACAGAGGTATTGGTGATATGCCCCTTCCCTGCCACGATGGAACCTGAAATGTGAAGGAACAAAGCCAACGTCCACAACTCCGCTCTAGTGGGGCATGAGTGGTCGACGGCTCGCCGTGGTAGAAGCTGGCGAG